GCCCGCCTCACGTCATCGTTGCCAAGACACCGCCACCAGCTACGACACGATATATATACGTCATTTGTATTCATATGCATTTCGGTCCATGCGTTTTTATGTATACGGCGGAGCACCGCCGCCTCGCTCACCCATGTGTACAGACATATATACGGGCGGAGTGGAGCACCGCCACTCTTGTCACACCGCCCTTTCTCGTGTCCCTAATTCGCCCTAGTACCGACGTAGTTCGCCCTAGTGTGGCTAATTGCGCCCGTGATCGAGGGCAAGATTTAATAATGCATATTGTTTGTAGATTTTACGCATGTAATAAGCAAAGATTTGACGTACTATATATTGGTTTTGTTTTTGAAGCTAGATGGTCAATTCGAGAAATATGGATGAGGAGGAGTTGATGATGAATTTGATCAACACGGCACTCAAGTTGCGGCGATGATGGTGCTAAAAATAACATGCAAGAGGATGTAGATGACGGAGTCAAGATTTAGCTCTTGAACAAAATGAGCAACAACATATTGGCCAAGTATATATTTTTATTATTAGCTATATATATATATTATCATATGTCCTATGTGTGCTCATGACATTAAAAATAATGTTTATGTTTTGTAGCCCTCTGGATCGACATCAACAACTACAACGAAGAGTAAAATGTTCGAGGTCCCAAAAGCCATTGAGGGTCGCTTCATCATCTCGTAGTTCAATGTGGATACAGGAGAACCGGGGGGCGAATAAAATGAAATTTGTGCACCACTGTGGTTACCTTTGTACGGGACCGACTCCCGATTAGTACCCGTGAATGGAAGAAGAAGACCAATGCTCCTCATATCAGCTTTTGTCTCCGATCGTGACAAGGCGTTAATTTGGAATGATGTCTTGGTACATTTCACGCCCAAACAGATGATTATGATGATATAATAGATGGTGATGAATTGAAGGAGCGAGTTAGGGATTGGGCAATGAAGAAGATGGCCACCCAGTTTCAGACTTGGAAGAAACACCTATACACGACGTATGTCAAGAAGAACATAGCACCAGATTTTACCGTCCCCAGCCCGATCTCAAAGCAGCAGAGGCCCTATTGGGATGAGTTTGTACAAGACAAGACTTGGAAGAGGGTGTGAGTCGGGTGATAAAGAACCAACATAATGCCCAATGAAGACATACCACCATACCTTGGGATCGGTGGCTACCCGACCGCCATTAAGAAGTGGAACAAAATGGAAGCAGCACCTTCTTGCCAAGGGTATCGCACTGTAATCACTCGAGTGGGGAGAACGTGCAAAGAATTGGTTTTTTCGCTCATGGGGGAACACTAGACCAGGAGACAGGGAAGTGCGTTTATGGCTAAGAGGCGCAAGAAGCAAAGCAGAAGATTGCTTTATGCTCAGAGAGCTACTGCTAGTGGTGCGTTCAGGCCCAACAGAGAGAAGGATGAGCTGACATACGCCATCGGGACTATTGAACATGGTGGCCGAACTAGAGGCAAAGGAAGTGTCTCGTGGGAGCATGGATTCCCTCGGAGATGCACCTTCCCTGTAAGTCGCCAGAGAAAGAAGGAAGAAGAGGCACACCGGCTCCAGAGGTTGGAGGAAGCGGTGCGCGTGAAGCACAGAGCGGAAAAAAAACCTTGAAGCGAGAATGCAGGAGGAAATCAAAAGGCAAGTGCAAATAGCAGTGAGTGCAAGCAAGCAGGCATCAGAGCCAGGAATCAACATTAGCCAATCTGTTCAGTTGAAAAGCAGCTGCGCTTCCACGGAGATACCAAATCAAGGGGACACAGGACTGCGCTTCCCTCGTGGATGACGCCATCGAACCTTGTACAACGGTGAGCTACACATTCAAGGAGAATTCCACAATCAAGGTGGCTATCGGTCTTGTTAATCCTATCGAACCGAACCAAGACACCAAGGATTCATGGGAATATAATCCAAGAAGGATATGCCACCATCTCGGTAGATAAAGTGAAAAAGGTTTTAGTGATTTGCCTCTTGACATTCTCGGAGGTGATGGCGAGAAGACTCTAGGAGAAGCGGAGAAGACATTCATTCTATGGCATGCAAGCGCCACATCATCATTCCAGGATGTCGGCTCCACCTCCCCCTGAACTACCTCACCATAGGTATGTGCGGATGAAAACACTACATCATTAATTTGTATTGGCTTAAATAATTAACAATCTGCTCATAATAATATGTCATTCCTTTTTTGTAGCAGATCCTCCCCAATCTAAATCCAATTGTTCAATCGCCAGATCATCATAGTGCTCAGACGATGACATTGTGTTGGAAGACGAGGCTGCATCCACACCTCTCCAAGGAGGTCTCCAACGCCGCAGCCGCCACCTCCAAGGAGGTCTCCAACGCCACGCCAACACCTCCAAGGAGGTCTCCAACGCCACGCCAACACCTCCAAGGAGGTCTCCAACGCCCCCCGCCCCGCCTACCAAGAAGCCTAGCAAGAGGTCAGCCCCTCAAACGAAGAACCAGTCCCCCTTTCAAGCAAAGAAAGCCACCGTGAAACCAAGGGTTATTCCCAAAATAATATCTCAAGAGAAGGAAGAAGGAACTGATGCATATAAAAAGACATGTCTAGATTCTATGACAAACTTAAAATGAATCAAGAAGCAAGGAGAAACCAGAGAAACCGTACTTCTTCAGAGTCTGGATATTTTAAGAAAAAGGTGATTTCTTACCAAAGATCAACAATGGGAATCTCGTAGTCGTCCAAATCAACGTTATCAGACTATGACCGCACTCTCACCAAGTCAATTGAGGCGGCATGTAAAAAGAAGCGGGCAGGGAAAGGAGTTGCCCAACTCGGACAACAAGCGCACCAATCAATCCCCCGCTAGTTGTTGGTAATGAATATGGTTCAATTTAGGATTAATGCATCAGCAAACATACCTCCGGATGTCGATTTGGATCACCTTGGTGAATTTCTTGATGAGACTGGTCTCGACCTTTACCAGATGTTTGGTGATGGAAACATTGAGAGTGCGGCGGAGGTTGATATTTGGAAGAAAAAATTTGTACTAGGCCGGAATCTATACAACCCTCAAGCCTTATCTCGATCCGGGGACGCAAATGTACCGCTAAACAGTGGTACATGCAAAGCGTCTACCAAAGGAGACTTCGCGTTGGTGTCGTAATTAGAGACGAACATTGGTTCCGTGGCGATGATGTTATGTATGTTGACTTTGCGTAATTTCATCAACTATGCCACCGACCTCTCTCGGACAAAGTTATCATTAGTCGCTATTGCCTCGTAAGTAATAATTCTTTCGATCTATTATTAAACTCATCATATGTGTGTATATGCATATAAATTATCCTAACAAGTACTATATATATGCAGATTTACAATGATGAGCTCAGAAAGGAAGGCTGCAATGAAATTGGTTTTGTTGATCCCATATAGTATTCAAAGACCCAATTACTCCAATGACTAATTGGAAGTCCGAGTCGAGAGTAACCTCATGAACTTCTTAGTGAACCAACGCCACAAGAAGGATATACTCTTTCCTATAACTTCAAGTGAGTGTTAATCATGTCGATCATAGCCTTAATGGCTCATATGTTGATTCTAGTTAATTAATGAGTGTTATGCGTTATATCCTATAAACACATGCAGCAATCACTGGATATTGATGGACATCGATCTGGTGAAAAGTCACTTGATAATCTATGACTCGATGAGAAAACCACAACAAGACTACCAAGATATGATAGATATTATCCAGAGGTAATTTCGAGATCTCTAGCAACTATATATACACACAAACATGATGATTAACTATATCTGATGACGTGGCAAATTTTTTATTGGGCAGTGTTTGGAAAACCTTTATTGAGAAGCAACACATGGAAAAATGCAAAGCGCCACTGAATGTAATCCCTTTGAAAGTAAGTCCCCTGAATCGCATCATCTTTATTAATTCAACATATAGCTTTCACCGGATCACCAGATTGGATGACAAATCTTTTTCTCGTAAAGTGGTGTCTAAGGCAGGAACAGGGGAACAACTACTGTGGTTACTATGTTTGCAAGTTTATCAAGGTGCTCTCCCAAAGAACTCCTACAGAGAGACTCAAAGTACGTTAAAATACACTATATATTCATTTAATTATTATTATTGATTGTGTTACTATGTCTTTATATATATATATATGTACATATATTAATTTATTTTCCTTTAATTCAAACTGTAGACTCGATGGTTGGAGGAAAAGGTCATATGGCAAGACCAAATCAAAGCAATTCAAGAGTCTATAGCCGGATTTTTTTAATGAGCAGGTCATCGATTCCAAGGGCGAGTTCTACTTGACCCAACACCGCCATTGAAGCCAAGCTAGAGGATGAGAAGAAACTTGTTATGTCACAACAACTATAATGCAATCTTTTGTAATATATGCACATGAAATAATATAATGTAAAATACACATATGCATGCATGCATGTAAATATATATATGATGCATGCATGCATATATATATATATATATATATATTTCTATGATTGAATTGTGTGATTTAATACGTTCATTGTGCTTGACCGAAACATACTATATGCGCCAGATAAATGTATAATTAGCAGCGCATAATACGACTTGAAAACCTATTTTGAAAAGAAAACAAAAAAATGAAAAGAAAAAAAAAAAAAAACCTTTAGTCCCGGTTCGTATTACCAACCGGGACTAAAGGTGCCGGCCATCGTGGCATGTCAGGAGGCACCTTTAGTCCCGGTTGGTGTTACCCACCGGGACTAAAGGTCCTCCTTTAGTCCCGGTTCCTGACCCGGGACTAAAGGACCCCCCCTTTAGTCCCGGATGCTTGCTCCCGGGTGGGGAACCGGGACTAGAGGGGGTTCCCCACCGGGAGTAAAGCTCGGTTCTGTACTAGTGGTCCTCATTGAGGGTGGAGCAAGAAAAGATCAACGGCGAGCGATCGATGGACGAAGAAGAGGCAGGCGGCGTTAGCGCGGCGGCTGACGTGAAAGTGATGAAGGCGGCGCCGCTGCCACCGCCGGCGGACGACGGGGAGATGGCGGCGTGGAAGGCGCCGGCCGCGATGCTGCTGGTGCAGCTGTTCAACACAGGCATGGTGCTGCTGTCCAAGGTGTCCATCGGCGGCGGCATGTTCGTCTTCGCGCTCCTCACCTACCGCAGCCTCTTCGGCGCCGCCATCATCCTCCCCATCGCGCTCCTCCGGGAGAGGTGCGTATGACTAGCTCCCGCGCGTCTCTCCGGCAGGTCGTCGGTCGTCCACTGCCGTCATCCCTAGTAATGTAGCTGATGCGACATAGCGAGCTACTCTATGTATTCTTATTTTAATCCTGGACAAATCAAACTAGATACATGTTCTGTTTTTAAAACTGCATTATAAATTGATTTTGATATTGCTTGAGAAAAACAAAAGAAAAGAAAAGAAAGCCCTAGTTTCAAACAACTCTATGTATTCTTATTTTCATCCCTTCTGCAGGGGCAAGTGGAAAGAGATGTACTGGCACGCCGCTGGATGGATCTTCCTTAATGCGTTCATGGGGTAAATTTGTAAATATATGTTCGTTACTTAAGTTATTCCGAGAGGTTCCCAATAAACATGGGACTTGCTAGCGCTCGGACGTCCGTTTCGGGGTGCTAGCATCGAACAGCTACCACGCGCGTAAGAAACAACCAGCTTTCGAGCAGCCTGCCCCCGTCCGTCGCTGCGCCCCGCACGTGCACACGGCCCCGTCGCTACGCGCCTGTGGCTGCCGCTCCTTTCCCTTGACCCCCCTCCTCTCTCTTCGCGCGGGTGGGACCCGGGAGCCAGGATAAACGGCTGAGGACGAGCGTCCTTCCCGTCTGCCGGCCCCCAGCTCGCCCCATCCGCAGGCCCTTGGCTCGCCGCACCCCCATCCCTCAATGCCCAGGCCGTGCGCCCATCAGTCACCGCACCCACGTGACTCTCCGAACAACATCAAACACTTGTAACATAAAACACGTGAATCCACTTGAGGGGGAGGTATCGAATATATTTTCATGTGTGGTGGATACAATACATGGAGAACGTAAGACCACATAGCGTTCGGAGGGACTCCTGGCATCCGGACGCTCTAATCATAGCATTACCAAACAAATATTGCCATGTTCCATCCACCACATGTTTAAAAATATGAGCAAGCAATAATGTTTTGGATTTTGGCGTCCCCTCAGAAATCGATGTTGACTTTTGAGTCATCAAGCCGGTTATCCATTTTGTGGTCTAACATAGAAGAGATCATAAAAACTATTATTACACTACAAAAATATCATTGAGGCATACCTACACACTTTCTTCTCATACCTTAGAATCTTTTTCCAAAGGGAAGGGGAATTATATTAAAACTCGGCACAGTACGTTCCGAAATTACATATGAAAAAATCTAAAATAAAAAAGGTACAATAGTCTATCTAGATTCTTCCATCGTCACCTTCCCTAGTGGCTTTTTTCGATGAACACAACCTTGTTGAACACCAAAGCCAGAGTGCTGCCCTTATGCTGACTCCAATGATTACCCAAAACATTCGACATGCCGTAAGATCCAACATTCTGGAACTGGTCCAAAACGTTTCTCAATCGATGAAAGAACACCGGCAATTGTATCATTGGGTATGGCATAGGATGCAGATTCATTACCTCCAAATCTTGATTTCCACCCCCACGACAATTGATGATGAGATCGATGATCTGGAGTAATTGTCTTCGTTGGAAGTGTCCAGGATCATCCCTCCCCTTGCTGCTAATGGTCATAGATTAGCCGCCTACCGATGAAATCGACGCTTGTAACGGCGATCTCATCATGACAATCATGAAAGTAGTCATCGCAGGTAACAAGATTTTGACTGAAAATCATCTCAATTCGATGGTAGATTTATTTCAGCTAAACCTTAAGCAAATTGGATATAAAACTGCAAAAAAAAAGAGATGGGTCCCCTCTCCTTCTCACCACCGGTAGATGCACCAGAGAGAAAGAAGGAGAAGGGGCCTAGGCGGAGGCGACGGCGGCGGTGAGGGGCAAAGCCTTTCTTGTTGCGGCAGCGGCGTTTTTGCTTCATACATTCAAATCTGAACAGTCAGGGTACATAAAGTTGTTTGTTCTGAGAGCTTGAAGTCTTCAGGGGCATCAGTTTTAACATGACTTGTGTTACGTACATGTCATGCAGATATGCCATACCAATGAGCCTGTTCTACTACGGCCTTCATGACACAACGGCGTCATACGCCACTATATTCATCAACTTAATTCCGTTGGTAACCTTCATACTCTCGCTCGTGTTCAGGTACAACTTCTTTATCTCTATAAAAAAGTACACCTCTTTTATGTTGATAGTGCTTATACCAATGAAATGCTTCACTAGTTGTGCAGCATATACAGGGATGTGCCTATGTTATCGTTAGGAGTGCACATCCCCCTTTGCCCCCTCCCATCCCAAAGAAATCTTTTTACCGTTTATACAAGTCCATCAACCCGTGCTCTCGCATGGGTTAGAATTTTATTAGGAGATATAAGTATTAGGTACTGTTTAATAATCCATTCATTCTAAATTATAAGACATTTTGACTTTTCTAGATATATTATTTTTATTATGTATCTAGATAGTACATCTAAATGTATAGCAAAAGCTATGTATTTAGAAAATTCAAAACGTTTTATAATTTGGAATTGAGGGAGTACTTCTAACTAATAAAGTATTAATTATATTGAATTATATGTTTTTTATTTTCTACCATAATAGACATACTAGATACTCTGTAGTCTATATCTAGTTATCATAGACTTATTAATTACTATTTTCAAGAAACTAATCTATATATGTTTTATCCATATTCATATTTTTCCTTTGCATGGCACCTCTATATTTTTTGATATGGAATTACTTTAAAACCTTAACATTAATCATATGGTGGCTCTTGTTTCATCATGTATCTTATGAAGTCATGAATCTAAATTTTGTTTTTCAAATTTCATTCTTATCGACTACTACAGTTTTTTTTCTCTCCTCAAGTTAAGTTGGAACTCTGGTGCTTATTTTATCTTTAATTAACTCTCCTTTTTACACTTTTAAAATAAGGATTTTAGGTCATAGAGTATGTTCTTAAGTACTACAATAACATAAGCTATTTGAAACATGTACCATATCGCTTAAGAAAAGTTATAGCGCTTGAAGTGAGATCTTGGACAAGGTAGCCATTCTAACCTTAAGAGAATTTTAATACTTAAGCCTTATATTCGTATAGCTTGCGGTGGTCTCGCACACTTTTCAAGATGATTAATTTTTTCTATCTAGGAATTATATTTGTAGTGATGGTTATACTATCAATATAGTAATGTCAAACATTTTAGTTAAAATACATAAAATATATATATATATATATCTAAAGTAATAATCTATATAAATTATATGTTATGGTCACTCATATGGTTTCAAATAATTTGTTAGTATCATTAGTATATGAGTTGTTAAAAAAATATTTTTTATGTGATGAAACATAACATATGTATTTTATTGCTCATGCATGTTGGCATGACGCATATATTTACTTTAATTAAATCTTACTATTAATATTGATAGTGGTGGGGTAATGTAGAAACATATCTATGCTCTATTCGTTATCTAAATAATTTTTTTAATAGGAGATGTGATAATTTAGATGTAGATTTGAGGGGGAATTTAATTTTTCTTAATGAGATGAAAATTGATTTATGTAAATTAACTATCATAATAAGAGGACATCCGTACTTAAATGGAAATTTAGGTGTACTTTAGATCATGTTTCTTAATGACATATGTGGGTAGTATAAATTAGAGGCATGGGTTAGTTTATATTGTTTTATGCAATAGTAGAAGTGGATAATTATTTAGAAAATAGAATAGATCCAACAACTATTATCGTTATCAATGGTGATTAGGTTATATCTAATTGATGGTAAGAGGTTTCTGATTTTTATGAGAATTTAGGATCTATCTTTTGTTTTCCTATCAAGTTTTGTAAGGATTAACATGCAGGCTCCAGCATTTATCTTTTTTTCTTAGTATGATATGTATTAAGTTGAAATCTTGTCTTAAGATATATAAACTCTTTGATACAATCCTTTTTGTGACTTCGTAAATCTATAGTTTATCTTTTAACTTTTAATCATGTTTTTGCAAATTTTTCACATGTTAATTAGAAATTCTAGTATTATTTATCTTTTATTTAATTTTTTTATTAAGAAGAGTCTATGTCCTATTAGTATTGTTTCCCACATAAGTTGAAAATCAGCTTGCATTCGACACTAAACATGTTGAATTTGTTATATCTCAGGATTATATGTGTAGTATTATTTATATCCTATGGAATGCATAAAATTAAATTAATAATATCGATATGACTTAATGTTTTAGTGAAAATGTATAAACTAATTTAAATAATAACTTATGAAATTTATTATCATGTTGTATTAATATAAGTGTTATTGCTACGTGGTTTGCTAAGTGAACATTTTTCCATGTTTCATAAGTTGTGAAAGTAAATATTTATCCAAATGTTTATATGTTTATTTTATATACATGGTGGAACATAGCATTATAGTTATTTTATTTCAAAAGACTGTAATTTAGAAATATACATATGTATCGTACTTTATGAATATTGATTTATTTTTTTGTAATATAGTAGTACTACTATTTACGTGTAGATTTCAGAGATTTTTTTGTTTATTTTTCATGATGGAAGATGTGGATAATTTAGATGCAAATTTAGGAAGTTATTTTGAATTATGTTTCGTAGCTGCAGATGTGGATAATTTATATACAAATATAGGAGTTTATTTTGAATTATCTTTTTAAATGCTGAGGTGGGTAATTTACATGCAAAATTAGGGGGTTACTTTATGTTTTTTTTATCATGGCAGTGGTGGGTATTTTCTTAATAAACTACAATAGATCCAATGGCTATTATCGGTGATGATGATTAGACTATCAAATCAAATGCCAGATGTTTCTGATTATTGTGAGAATTTCTTGGTGAGAATTGAGGTGATGCATGCATTAGGGCCTCTAATTAGTAATAGTATTTTTCTAGCTCATCTGGTCAGAACTGACGTGATGCCTCTAATTAGTAATAGTAAGATAAGATATTGTAGCTTTGTACATCTTTAATACCTGATAGCAATGCATGCTCACAATGCGTTATTCAATTCTTACATTAGGATGGGCATGTCAGGATCGCTTAAGATTGTTGGAGCTGTGGTGTCCATCGGGGGCACAATGATCATCAGCCTATACAGGGGAAAGATTCTGCATCTATGGGGCTCTATTCTTCGCCCTCACAATGAAGAGCATGTGGATGCTGCAAGCCATCATCACCTACGTGGAGCAATCTTGTTGGCAGGCAGCAGCTTAATGTTTGCTTGCTGGTACCTAATTCAGGTAACGATGTGCTTTGATGCCCATGATTGCTACCATGTTTAATTTTGAAGTCATTTTAATTAGCTCATAATGTATTTTTTAATCATAATGTTTTTTTTTTCTATTTTCATATGTGGTTGCAGTCAAAGGTTCTCAAGGTATTTCCGTACAAATATTGGTCATCCATGGCTACGTGCTTGGTTGGAGGGCTTCAGACAGCACTTGCTGGAGTCATATTTAGGAGGGACAAGAATGCCTGGAAGATAGGATGGGATATAAACCTTCTGACCATCGTTTACTCAGTAATTTATCAACACATTTTTTCAATAAGCACTCATGATGATTTTTCTTTCAAACAAGGGTCCCTTTAGGTGACCAATTGTCATTTTTTAGATGACTGGCAACCCTAACTAAGCTAATTAAACTAGTGACCAGTCATGATCCATACTCAATCGATTGTATACGGGAGATAACATTGCAACATATTGGGTGCAGGGGGCACTTGCAACGGCAGCAAAATATAGCCTGAACTCGTGGGCTGTATCTATGAAAGGCCCATCATACCCTCCAATGTTCATGCCATTGTCCCTGGTGTTCACTGTTGTGCTAGGCTCTATCTTCATCGGTGACGACATCACCGTTGGAAGGTCAGTTCTGTTTTTTTAATGTTTTGAACCTTTCCCCTTATCCATGCTCTGTTCTCTTGTTTTAGTAACAACAAAAAAAGATGCAGTACATATATAACAATGCTATCTACGAAACACTATAAAAAAAGATTTATAGCAACGTTCTCTTTTTTTTTAGACAGCTCTATATAGAGCCGCCCCTACAAATGGTGTCCAAACGAGTCACTCCTACAAATCCATTTTGTAGGAGCTGCTGGTGTTATCAGCCGCCCCTACAAATGGCTTCATTTGTAGGAGCGCTTCTATATCCAGCCGCCCCTACAAATAGATGTCGAATAGTAAAAGTTAAGCACTAAAATTCAAATTTTTTAAACGACCTCGATAGAGAAAGACCAAGATAAAAGTTGCAGATCTCGAAAATTCATTTGAAATCATTTACTGCTTCAAAATATTGTTTGAAATTCAATTTTAAAATTGTTGAAGAACACTTATTTTCCTTTTTAATATCTGGCTAAAACTTATAACTAGTCTTTATCCCTCATACTAACTTAAATTTGATGATTTTTTCCTAAAATTTCCTAAAATCATGCTCTATCAAATTATTGTGTTCAACTATTATTTTGACCATCTTTTTCGTGTGACTGTGTTTTATCTATTTGAATTTTAAATTTAAAAAAATGACAACTTCAAACGTTATTTTGAAACAGTAAATGATTTCCAGCTGAAAGTCATGAACATAAAAGTTGTAGAAGTCATCAAGATCTACAACTTTTATTTTGGTCATTTTTTCATCCAACAAAGTGGAAGTAATATTGTTCACAAAATTTACATATCTCTCTTATAGCTGCATAAACTATAAGAGGGATATGTAAAATTTGTGAACAATGTTACTACCACTATGTCGGATGACCAAATGATCAAATGAGGAAAAAAAAGTTGTAGATCTTGAAAAGTTATAGAACCTTGTAGTTGACAACTTTTTTATTTGAATTCATTTTGTCATGGAAAACTACATTTGAATTTCTCAAATTTGAATTTCAAATTTTCAAACAATCTCGGATGGAGAAATAACCAAAATAAAAGTTGTAGATCCTAAAAAGTTATACAACTTTGTAGTTGACAACTTTTTGATTTGAAATCATCTTATTAAGGAAAACTACATTTGAATTTCTAAAATTTTAAAATTTGATTTTTTTAAATGACCTTGGATGGATAAACATCAAAAATGAAAGTTGTATATTTCAAAAAATTATGAAACTTTGTAGTTGACAACTTTTTCATTTGAAATAATCTTGTCACGAAAAACTACGTTTGAAGTTCTCAAATTTGAAATTCAAATTTTTTAAACGACCTCGGATGAAGAAACTACCAAAATGAAAGTTGTAGATCTCGAAAAGTTATAAAACTTTGTAGCTGACAACTTTTTCATTTGAGTTCGTATAGGGCCTCAAACAGTTAATTTATGCTCGATTTGGTATAACATGTGGGGAACCAAAATCCACTATAGACACAAGTGAGTGAGTGTGAGGTGCATTGGTAGAGGAGGATATGTGCAAGGGAGAGGTTATAGGTTCAAACCATGTCCTACCTGGAATAAAAAAATTTGCTATTTCTTTTACCCGGATTCGTGAATTTTTGGCGCGTCGTAGAATATTATTCTACAACACAAGCCAAAACTGACTTGAAAAAAACTGAGTATTACTAAACCGCGTTCAGTATCAGTCAGTACTACACACCCAGTACCTCGAAAATACCGAGAAATACTGAAACACTACTACTGAACAATACTGAATTGTGTTCAGTATAACAGTTTAGTGTAGAATAGTATTATATACCTAGGTGTAGAATATCAACCGCCCCTACAAATCCATGATTTGTAGCCACAGGATGGTAGAGGCGGCTGGCAAAACCGCTCCTACAAATCCCTTGAGCAGCTCATACAAATCTCCTGTGTAGTAGTGAAATTTGTTAGTCTTAAAATGATCTAAGAGCTAATTAGCAGAATGAGTCATTTTTATGACATTGTGTCGCAATTGATCTATCTATCTTATGAATGTGCAGCCTCATTGGGACGGTTCTGGTGATTGTTGGGACCTACATCTTCCTTTGGGCCAAAGGAAATGAGCGACTTGAAAAGTGAATATGTCCGAGAGCACATGTTTAGTTCAAAGATTTCCATGGCTCGGGGCGGTAATACAAATGGAGGCCAACTTAGTAATATATAAACATCCAAACATAAATTAACATATGCTATATAAAGAAAATGGCCCATACATTAAAATACATAAAAAAAACAATGTTCATCACAAACATTTTGTAGCTTAAAGTAAAGAATCATGTCAAGGTTATCTTGTCAGCTGTTGTGTAGAATATATACAAATGACAGCAATTTATTTCCAGGATTCATGTTTTGTTATAACTATGTGCTTTATAATGTATAATGTTTTTCCCTTGTTCATTAGTCATGAGCTATGTTATGTTTTTAGTCTTTTACTAAAGTCTACAGAAATTGCGGATTTTATCTACAGAAATTGCAAGGATCTAAAACTGCAATTTTAGTATAAAATATATGCAATAACCATTGGCTGAAAGAAAAAAACTAAAATTCAGGCGTCTGAAATTTAACAAATCCCATTGTTTTTGTGGGCAAAAACTGTGTGGTGGATACTATATTGTTGTATGAGAAGTGCATGTGTATGTGCTGCTTGCCAAACACCAAGAGGTTGTATTGTTGTACGAGAAGTGCATGTGTATGTGCTGCTTGCCAAACCAAGAGGTTTTAATTATGTGCTTGTACAATACTGTAATATATTTGTTTGTTGTCAATATAGTTGAACATGTGACTCATATAATCTTTGTACTAATCGGGGTGGTTGGTGAGTGTCATATGAGATTAGGAAAAAATTAAACTGCTTGTTCTTAGCTATTTTTTAATTATTGAATATTAGCTTTATCATTGTTCATTAAGATTAGAGAAAAAAGTGGGAGTGTTACAAATGGCGCGCGGCTCCATACACTCGTCCGGCGGCCTCGTCGAGCCGTGCACTGCTCGTACGATGCCGGACTGGACCGCCGGCCGGAGATATGTTGTTGGAGAGCATATATAATATAGCAGATCGAGCCGGCCAGTCAGCGGACCTCATTGTGTGTCGAGCAAGAAAAGATCAACAGCGAGCGATCGATGGACGAAGAGGCAGGCGGCGTTAGCGCGGCGGCTTACGTGAATGTGATGAAGGCGGCGCCGCTGCCACCGCCGGCGGACGACGACGAAGAGATGGCGGCGTGGAAGGCGCCGGCCGCGATGCTCCTGGTGCAGCTGTTCAACACGGGCATGGTGCTGCTGTCCAAGGTGGCCATCGGCGGCGGCATGTTCGTCTTCGCGCTCCTCACCTACCGCAGCCTCTTCGGCGCCGCCTTCATCCTCCCCATCGCGCTCCTCCGAGAGAGGTACGGTGCGTGCGTGCGTGACTTCCGGGTCTCTCCGGCAGAGAGGTCGGTCGTCCATTGTCATCATCCCCTGCCGATGCGACGTACTCCTGTATAGAGAGAGCTACTCCGATCATGCTGCACAAATTAAACTAGACGCATTTTCCGTTTTTTATATACATTATAAATTGATTCTGATCTTGGTTCAAAAGAAAAGGAAAACAAAGCCTTGGAATGTGGCTCCTTCAAAAACTGAGATTTGTTGCTTTCTATATATCGCCTGCATGCACAAGTACAAGAGAAATTCTTAAAATAAATTAGAGCTAGTCAAAGTTAAGTCACGACGATTTCCGTGCAACTCTAATAATAACTTGAAAAAATGGGGCGCGGCGTTGCCGCGCCATCTCTGTGATGGCCACTGTTTACTTAATTTTGTGTTTCTAAAAAAAAACATAATTTTGTGTAGGATACTGGGTAATATGAAAATGCTAGATATGTATGTTTATATCCTCAGTGGTGCTTTAATTGGAGTATAATGGCGTAAATTCATTTGGAACATATACAACACCAGTGATTCAAGTTTGCAGTATAAAATTGAAGCAACAATATAGGAGGCCCAAATTAAAAATGTAAATATAATGCGTAAATGTATGAAGATTTGTGTTTACAGCATACTGGAATTTGGCAGCGATTCCCAAATTGACATAGTTGGATTGCCCAAAAGCTACAAAGATTAACATATGTTTATCATCATTCATTTGCACTAAGTAAAATCTAATTTGATATACACAGAAAAACTGCAACGGGCCGGGTCTGGTCTGTATACCACCATTAATTTAAATCATTCATATGATCAGCTCTTGGGTGGCAGTCAGCGAACAACAATTTGCCAGTGTCCATCTTGTGAAGAAAGGAGTGGGAACACACATACTCCTCAAAAGAAAGAAAGAAAACAAACAACCCAACATGATAGTGAATACATATGGCCTGCTAGCGATAGAACAGAACTGAAGAATATTATATGATGAAGATTTACTTTGATGTAAAATATGGCACTTGCATTGCAAGGATATGAAGCTGGGTTGGGCATAAGTCTCTGATATAGTGATATGTTCCCAAAATAGCTATCAAAGCATGAAATTAGTGCAAATAAGGCACAGTGAAATCAGCTGTGCGTGGCTTTGTGAACAGAAGTGACACTGTGGAGTTTAATATTACTTCCCTAATCTCTTTTCACCAGAAGAATGACATATAATAACTTAAGATTAAATGTCCCCATGATGAGATTATCATAAATGGGTGCTTAGAATAGTATTCAGACTCAGAAAAACTCATGCAAGAACAAGGGACCTACAAATACATGGGCAACATTCCGTATCTTTTTTTAGAAATATCAGCATATGTGCACAACGTTTCCTTATAAACCAATCTCTCTTAAACCAGCTATATAATTTTTCATATGAAAATTACTTCACTTATAATCAGACTGTGCAAGCAAATCTCAGCAATTGAATGGTGAAATACATAGAAGGCTATGAGTTGTAGTTCTATATACTACCGCTAATATTTGTAGATAGCCTTTTTCTTTGTCTTCTCAACGTATTTGTCCCCTAGGTTTCAAAACTACAGGTCTTTACATTGAAAGAAAAATAATAAAATCTTGCAGTTGGGAATCAACATTGGTAAGGGCAAAACAAAGTTCCAGAAAATCCAAATATTTCAGCAGTCTTGGAAATTGGCAGAGTGAGGAGATCCAGATATGAGAGGCATACCATAATAAAATTTAGCATGGGCACGGCATTTGATCGAGCACCTTGTACGCATAATAGATACTACTACAGGAGAAGGAGCTACGCTGCATCTGCTGACATGCTCAACATCTTCGGCAAGCAGTGTGCACAGTAGGCTGGCCGGCCGTGGCTCGTAGTGGCGCTGCACCGCCGTGGCCGCGGACCATCCGCTCGCGGTGACCATGGGCCGCCGTGGCCGCATGTCGGGACGGCCGCGCGTCTGGCCAGCCACGTCTTGTGCATCCGCGGGCTTGAAGTGCGGAAGCACTGCCGGCTCCGGCATCTTCATCAAGGAATCTCTGCAGCACAGACAGAAGAGGATGAACATCTCAATCAACCAAGTTTGCACAGCCAAATCAACATCAGAACCTAAAAGACCGAGTCTTGTGGAACACAATTCATGCATAACCGAGCACATCTTGCGAAATCAATCCTGAGATTAGATACGGCAGAGCAAGCGACGGGCGGGAGCTTACATGGAGGAGCCGGCGGCGGCATGGCCGGAGAACTTGGAGAGCTTCCCCCTCTCGAGAGGCAGCCATGAGTGGGGCGCGGAGTGGAGTTTGGTCTCCTTGCAGGCCGACTCGGAGAAGAAGAGCTTCCTCATGGCACATACCACGGCGAAGTGGCGAACCAAATCAGAACTCCACCTCCACTTGTTCCCCTCGAATCCACTCAAATCCTCGCCATCCAGGGGCCCAAATCACCCCGAATTTGCAAGAAACACCGCGAATCAAACCCCGCGCCAGCCGCGTGGCGGGGACCGGCGGCGAGATTCGGAGCCCCAAGAAGACAAGAATTCCGGAGGGGGAACGCCCCGGGAAGGAGGCGGCGCGACGGCTTTGGACTTCGGAGGCCCGGTCGAGCTCCCGAGCAGGCGGCGAAACCCGGCCCGACCGCAGCTAGAGGGGGAAGGCAGGCAGGCACCAATCTGCAGCTAGAGAGGGAGAGGGGAGTGGGAGAGCGGGGGCGAATAGAGAGAGGTGGAGAGAGAAACCCAAAGGCGCCGGCTTTAATGGCACGACACGGCCCAGCGGGGCGGGCGCAGCACCAGCAAGAAGCCAAGCGGGGAAGTAGTAACCACTCCGCCACCCGAGCGCACGCGCGAGCGAGCAAGCGGTACGGGCGCGGCGGCTCCGGCCGCAGGCAGCGCGCGGAGGCGGCAGCGTTTTGGGCCTCTCGCTGCGCCGCCACGTCGGGAGAGAGGGAGAGAGAGGAAGGGGCGCGCGAGGGCGGCAACGGCGGCGGGGGCAGGCGAGAAGGTTCGAGCCCATCCGATCTGGACTGCGGGTTGATTTCGAAATAATTTGAGATATTTTTTGCAAAATATTTTGAGAGGACCTCTAGAGTGCGGGTTGATTTATGAAAAGTTAAAGTGGTTTTCCGTAAAATGACCGTGGATCGTTTGATCGAACGGGCATGAAAAGCCGCGCCGATCGAGCGCCGTTTGAAAAAGGATTCATATAGACGTGTGACGCCGCTACGCGCATTGCTGCTAACCCGCACGTATTTTTGGGAAAAAGAGATTCATATAGAAAGATTTTGTGTGACAATCGAGGATGCGGCAAAAACAACATATGGCGAGTTGATTTTCGATAAAGTAGAGGTCTTTGGTGCGTGCATCCGATCCGATCGAAAGCGTTGATTTGGAAATAATCTGAGGCGTTTTTAAAAAAAAAAATTAAAGAGGTTTTTGTAGGACGGTTTGCCGTCTGGGCCGTCCATGGTGATCGATCGTCGTCACTATAAATCCAAATCATATCTTTAGATGAAACGATCTCGTCACGCAAAAAACATCATATCTAAGTGTCTCATAAAAAATTATGTATTTGTAAGGCGGTTGGATGGTATCTTCTAACCATCTCTACAAATCGATTTATAGAGACGGCTAGTGTTATCAGCCGTCCCTATAATTCCTAGACCGTCTCTACAAATCGATTTGTAAAGGCAGCTAGTATTCAAATTGATTTGTAGGGGCGGCTGTATATGAGCCGTCTCTACAGATTAAATTTCAGAACACGAAAAAGGGGCAAAAAAATAGTATTTTTTTAATCCAAGGAGGTCCCCATCGGGAGCCACACACCCAAACTTTTCTACCACTGCACCTCACGATCACTTTGTCTACAATCCATTTTGGTTCCCCACATATTATACAAAACTGAGCATAAATTGATTGTTTGAGGCCCTAAACTAATTCAAATAAAAAAGTTGTCAACTACAAAGTTTTATAACTTTTCGAGATCTATAACTTTTATTTGGGTAGTTTCTCCATCCGAGGTCACTTATAAAATTTGAATTTCAAATTTGAGAAATTTGAACGTAGTTTTCTATGACAAGATGATCTCAAATGAGAAAGTTATCAACTACAAAGTTTCATAACTTTTCAAGATCTACAACTTTTATTTTTACTATTTGTCCATCCGAGGTCGTTTAAAAAATTAAAATTTCAAATTTTTGAAAATTCAAACGTAGTTTCCTTAACAAGATTATTTCAAATAAAAAAGTTGTCAACTACAAAGTTTCATAACTTTTCGAGATCTACAACTTTCATTTTGGTTGTTTCTCCATCCAAAGTCGTTTATAAAATTTAAATTTTAGTACTTAATTTTTAATACTCGATGTCTATTTATAGGGACTGTTCAATATTGAGTCGCCCTACAAATCTGATTTGTAGGGGCGGTTGGATATAGAGCCGCCCCTAGAAATCGGGCCATTTGTAGGGGCGACTGATAACACCGGCCGACCCTACAAATCTATTTGTAGGGGCGGTTTATTTGGCAACCATTTGTAGGGAGCCGTCCCTAGAAAGAAAGGGAGGTGTTGCCACAAATTATTTTTGTAGTAGTGGTGGTAACATGGGAGATGAAATAGGCGAGGAAGATGATAGACACACTAAGGCCGGGCTTGTTTGTATGTACTCTTATTCACCTCAATCCATGGATTGAGCGTGGATTGAGTGTAAGTTAATTTAATTTCCAACCTCTAATCCACTTTAATACATACGGATCGAGATGAATACGAGTGTAGCCAAACATGTCCCGACACGGTCTGGCCAAAACCCTACTATAGATGACTATAAACATCATCCCTCACAATTTTAGGTACTTTCGCTGGTGCCTTTTTTCTATCATGGAAAGATCTATCTATATGTGGTAGTGATGTAGAGCAGCATTGGATGTTAAAGTATGTAAGATCTCTTGTTTAGATGCCAATATATCTCACCTCAACCCATGTGTGTTGAAGTGGTTTGCTGTGAAATTTAATCTAAATTCCACACTAAACCACTACAACACACGTGGATTCGAGGAAGCATCCAAACAAAGCCTAACGTGGAATCTAAGGCCTTGTTTCGAACTTGGGAGAAATCTTCGCCTTGTTTAGATTGCAAAAAAAAGTGAACCCGATGAATAGTGCCACTTTCGTCTTATTTGGCAAATATTGTCCAATCGTGGACCAACTAGGCTCAAAAGATTCATCTCGTGATTTTCAACTAAACTGTGTAATTAGTTATTTTTTTTACCTACATTTAATACTCCATGCAAATGACTAAAAATTGATGTGATGGAGAGAGAGTGAAAAAATTTGGAATTTGGATGGCATCTAAACAAGGCCCTTTTCTGTTTTCCATTGCAAAATAATCACGTGATTTCATCCTTGTGTAGGGGGAAGTGGAAAGAGATGGACTGGCACGCTGCTGGATGGATCTTCCTCAATGCGTTCATCGGGTAAATAAGCTAGCAATGTTTTGGATATATACGTCCCGTGATCAATGTTGATTTTTTTGAGTAATCAGCGGACATCCAATTTGTTGTATAACATAACAAGAGCTAGGCATATATATACCTACACAACACTTTCTTTTCCTACATTCAATCGGACGGTCATGTTTCATACAGTTGTTGTTGAAACTGAATAAAAGCTAAGACTTCATGGGCATCAATTTGTACATGACTCGTACGTTTTACTTAAATGTCAAGCAGATATGCCATACCAATGAGCCTATACTACTACGGCCTTCAAGACACAACGGCGTCATACGCCATTATATTCCTCAACTTAATTCCGTTGACAACCTTCATACTCTCCTTCATGTTGAGGTACAACTTCTCTATTTCTATAAAAATACACCTCTTATGTTTATAGTGCTTAACAATATATGAAATGCTTCTCTAGTTGTGCAACATATATATGCAGGGATGTGCCTATATGTTATCGTTAGGAGCTACTGCTCATCCCCCTTAATTGGCTCCCTCCCATCCCAAAAAAATCTTATTACATCTTTAATTCCTAATAGCAATGCTCACACTCATGACAACGCATTATTCTTATTCAATTCCTGCATTAGGATGGAGCCACTGCGAATCATGAGCACGTCAGGATCGCTTAAGATTGCAGGAGTTGTGGTGTCCGTCGGGGGCACAATGATCATCAGCCTATACAAGGGAAAGATTTTGCATCTATGGAACCCTGTTTTTCATCCGCACAATGAAGACGCTGCGAGCCATCAGCTACGTGGATCAATCTTTTTGGCAGGCAGCAGCTTCATGCTTGCTTGCTGGTACCTAATCCAGGTAGCGGCGTGCTTTGGTGCCCGTCATTGTTGTCATGTTTAATTTTGAAGTCATTTAAGCTCACAATGTATCTTTTTTTTTGTTTTTTTGCGAATCATAATGTATTTATTCTTTTTTCATACGTGGTTGCAGTCGAAGGTTATGAAGGTATATCCGTACAAATATTGGTCATCCATGACTACGTGCTTGGTTGGAGGGTTTCAGACAGCACTTGCTGGACTCATATTTAGGAGGGACAAGAACGCCTGGAAGATAGGATGGGATATAAACCTTCTCACCGTCGTTTACTCAGTAATTTATCTATACATTTTCTACAATAAGCACTGATGATCCATTCAACCGATTGTATGTGGGAAATAACATTGCAACATATATATTGGGTGTAGGGGGCACTTGCAACGGCACTAAAATATAGCCTTAACTCATGGGCTGTGTCTAAGAAAGGCCCATCATACCCTCCAATGTTCAGCCCATTGTCTGTGGTGTTCACTGTTGTGCTGGGCTCTATTTTCATCGGTGATGACATCACTATTGGAAGGTTAGTTCTTTTTTATGTTTTGCACCTTTTCCCCTTGTCCTGCTCTGTTCTCTTGTTTCAGTAATAAAAAAATACAGTACTTATCTAACAATGCTATCTACTGAAATCTTTTAGTCTTAAAATAAACTAAGAGCTAATTAGCACAATGAGTCATTTTTTATGACATTACGTCACAATTGATTGTACCGCGTTGATCTGTCTTATGAATGTGCAGCCTCATCGGGACAGTTCTGGTGATTGTTGGGACCTACATCTTCCTTTGGGCCAAAGCAAATGAGCGACTTGAAAAGTGAATATGTGAGGGAGCACATGTTTAGTTCATAGATTTCCATGGCTCTGGGTGGAAATACAAATGGAGGGCACCTTTAGTAATATATAGACATCAAAACATAAATTAACATATGCTATATAAAGAAAATGACGCATACATTAAAATACATAAAAAACAATGTTCATCACAAACATTTTGTAGCTTAAAGTAAAGAATCATGTCAAGGTTATCTTGTCAGCTGTTATGTAGAACATACAAATGACAACAATTTACTTCCAGGATCCATGTTTTGTTATAACTATGTGCTTAATAATGTATACTTTTTCTCTCTCTCATTAGTCATGACCTAAGTTATGTTTTTAGTCTTTTACTTAAGTCTTGTAACAATTGAGTAATAATGATGCTTTGAAAGAACCAAAGAAAAGAATTTCTTTATATAAAACAATTTATAGCATGGTATAAGTCTATATATATAGGTAGACAAACTTAACACATGATGTGTGGAAATACCATATACCCTCCACTCAATTCATCAATCTCGCCATTGTTAATCGGCAACGTTGTCTTGGAAAATGAAGTAGGTAGGACTCAAGAGGAAGCATTGTCGTAAATGTTTGCCTAAATGGTCATTTAGCCAATTTAAGTACTGTTTAAACCATAAATTCTACCTGGTGCTAGCCGTGTCAATTTAAATGGCTATTAGCATAAATCTTGGTCATGTTAATAAACACGGCAAGGGATTTCAAAAGAGTAAGCTCAGAATTAGGGATGAACACAAATAAGGTCAAGAGCCTGGTGTTCTTGGATAATAGAGCTAAGAATCCCCATCAAAGGAAGCAAAGATCATGTATTTACATGATTGTACGGGACACAATCTAATTTCCCCCCTATTCGGGTCTTAGTTTGCCTTGTATCGTGGTACACACTAATAAACAATGTCTACTAGGGATTTAAGAGTACTAGCACCTGCCATGGGAAATGATGTTTGTATCATCCCAAACTCCAGACAACTTACGACCATTATGCAAGCTAAGTGAACCACAAACTTCTACCAACCCTTTTATGCTTCCATCCTCGTTTTACGTAAAATGGTGAGGTTGGTGGTGTGGACGTACTCTAAAAACCTTATATTGGTCTGACCCATCCTCAACAACTAGGGTGGACTAAACCAACACAAAAATCATTTTTACTACTAAATTACTAATGTAATTATGATTAGAAACAAAACTTATTCTTATAAAAATCTAGATCAGCTTATGGTTCAACTAAAAAATGAAACCATTAACTGAAATCTTGAACAACTTGTGGTCTGATGCAATCTAAATAAATGTATCTTTATAATCCCCACAAGGGCTACCACGTGAAAAATCGAGACAAGTCTTCCATCATAATCATCAGTGGGCAGATAAATCCTTGACACATCCATACTTTTAATTTGGGACGAACCAGCAGCATGAGGTTTTTCCCTAGAGTGGACCAAGCGCGTGTTGAATAGTGCATGTGGTGTGCGTGGGTTGTGCTTGATAGGTGTGTTCCGAGTCTGTTCGGGGAGTCTCATCTGTGTTTAATGTGCAGCCACCACGGGTGTCCATTTAAATTATTATATGATATGCCAATGCTCCTGACATGTTGAAAAAAAAGAGAGATCAATCCTTGACATGTTAGCAACAAACACTTTACTAACTTTAATCAGAGACTGCAGTCATAATTTACTATGAACATTTGATTTTTTTTTCTGCCATTACAACGCACGCCCAACAGCCAGTAAAGTACCAATTTTCTTTTCGTCCGATTCCTATAACCTATTGCCATCTACACGCCAGACCTGAGATCTCGACATGCAGGCCTAGAGCCTACGAGTCGTACAACGGCTACCTTAGGCTAGTCTTAATGGAGGTTTCATAAAAAAATCTTGTGCATTAAATAAGTTGATGTGACATAATATTAATGAGGAGAAATACAAGTTTGATAGGATAAGGGCAAGTACAGCGGGCGTGCTGGCCGTCGTCTCCGAGCGGTAATTTTGCAAAATCCCCCCAGTTCGCTAGACAGAGAACGAAGCCGTCGCGTCATGAGACGACAGCGAGGGCTCGTGCTCCCAGGCGGACTCGACGGCTGGATTCGCGTTGTACGGAGCCGTCGCCTTGAGTCGACGCCGTGCGGATCCAGCTGCAGCCGCAAGGTGAAAGAATCATGCCAAAAATCGAAGCCGTCTTCTTCTTCCCTTCATCCTCACCAGCAGACTTGGGAGGGCAGCAGCGGGCGGAAGCGGCGGCAAGCGGCTTATGGCACCCGGCACCGGGCGGGCGGGAGCGCAGCCAAGCACGGCGAGGACGAGGGCATGGCGGACCACGGCCGCACCGGCGAGGAAGAGTTGGGCTAAGCCGACGAGGAAGAGCTAGGCCGCGCGGCGGGGCAGAGCGAGCAGGGCACATCCCGATGAGGCAAGCACGTCTAGCGCGAGCAGGGTCATCATGGCGGAGGTGAGCTGTTGGTAGGCGGCAAGTCCATGGAAACTGAATGTTTCTATTCAGCTTCTGAAAACTGATAACTGAACGCACTTTTGTCAGTTACCTGCATGTGTTCAATTGATTTTGATTCTTACCTTTTGGGTGTGAACTAATTAAACATGCCAAGATGTGATTTACTTTATATATATAATATATATGATTTACTTTGAATGATTTATTTTGTATCAATTAGCAACACAATGGTACACACAATGGTACGTAGAAATGATATTCATGATTGATCACGGCTACATGCAAGCATATTAAATGACTTGTAGATAGCTAAATAGACAGCAATTGTCCGTGGATTGTATGAGCTGTTTGTTTAGCCGTCTATATTGTAAATCCCAAAAACTTACAGCCCTAAAAATAAGTTTTTATAGGGATGAAACGTGTCTACGCTATATATAACACATGCTAGTATTAAAAACAGTGACATGAAATCTTATTGGGTCTGGCCTTATCCGATGTGCGAGGCGAAGGGTCGCGGTCGCGTCCGCCGGCACGTCGCTGGCTGGATGCAGCCGCTGCTCTGCTATTGTGTTTCGTGTTACCGACCGGCCAACCACCTGGGATTGGGTTCGGTGGTGCCTCTCAAATTATTTATAGTAGTAGCTAGCACCATGATTAAGCAACGGATTGACGAATCGGGTGATGAGTCCATTCATGATCCACTCCCGAGTCGCGTTGCGTTGTTGGCCTCATCCGAAGTCCGAACGCGTCGAGTCGCAGCGCAGGGCCTAGCTGGATGCCGTGCATGCATGACGCATTGCGCACCAGCCCCGTGCAGTGCAGTGCAGGGGGAGGGAAAGGGGTGTACATCCACAGTGGTTGAACGATGGAAACGGCGATTCTATAAAAAAAAAGTATAAGGACGATGATCGCCCTTCATCGGCCTTATACTTTTTCTAAGGACGATGGACAAAATATCGGTCATGCTTGTTCTCCACATATATGTCCGCTCAACATAGCATAGAATAATATAAGTACTTTAACTCCCAATGTACCATTATACAGCCGATTATTTTTTATTCTCTCTATTATTAAAGTCACTAATTGGCCGCACTAAACAGCAAAAAAGGAAATAATCAGCCAGATCTATATCTTTTATAAAAGCAATCCTCACAATCTTTTAATCTCCACATGTAAGACATCCACATAGCATACTCCACTAAGTGCCACATCAGCCCCATAATAATTGCTATAACATCTTCACTAAATGCAATTAATATTTTTAGTCTATCAACATACAAGGTACCCATGTTGTACTATTTGTTTGCTTATCACAATCTCCTATAGTTTGATCTAATATTCTATATTTTTTATTTCAAAGTCTCACAACAACGCGTGGGATATTATTCTACTAGTTACCTAATAAATAGACCTAAGCTAATTACTCAAAGCCATATTAACTATGCATGAGAGTTTAACGAACTAGCAGCTGCTGAGCCTACGACAAAAGAACCTCACTAAGCTTTTCAACCAATTGCATCTTAGGGCGATGGTAATAAAGCATCGGCTATACACTACCTCGTACTAGGACATCACTTTCGGTTCAAAATCAGTGCTGGAATTTGAACCAGCAGAAGGAAAGGTACAGTGATGTGGCTTTCCTATCACTACTGGTTCAGAAAAAACGGTAATGATAACAATCTTCACTACTGGTTCGTACCCCCAACTGGCAGTATTGATTTGAGCAACATTGTCAGTTCATTACACCAGCTGACAGTGATGATCACTGCCGGTTTTGAACTTCAACCGGCAATGCTGATTTGAGCAACAATGCTGGTTCATTACACCAGCTAGCAGTGATATAACTATGGCTTGTTCATGAGCAAGAAAACCTAGTGTTTGATCTAGTTGATGTGCAATACAAGTTTTTAACTCAACTTCGACAAGATAACCGTTTAAGGACATGTGACGAAGCTTGAAGAAGGTTCAAACTAAGTTAAATGCTTATGCAAGTTGACAAGTTCAAACCCAAGAGAAAGAAGCTCATGAAAACAATCTAATATGGTTCAAGTGATCCTCAACTTTAAGTGATCATCTCCATCAAATGTGGATTCTTCCAAAGATTCAAGTGATGTCCACCCCGAAGCAACAAGATTTGTTTGTCAAGTGCCATTCCCAACTGGTGTCACCTTTTAAGGAAATTGATGACAAAGGAGGAAAAGTTGGACACAAAGATAGAATGGGGAGAGAAGTTGGACCGACCAAAGATTGATCAAGATGGAAGCATTGAAGAATTGAGAGGGATCAAAATTTTGAAGCACACAAGTAGAAGGAGCAAGCTCATGAACACTTCATTGTTGCATTTGTATTGTGCAATACATATGGTTCCTTGCATTTGCATTGAGTAGAAATAGATTTTTCAAGTGGTATCTTCATAGATTGTGTGGTGACTGCTAGTTAGAGGATTGATCGATGAATTCAAAACTAGCATGTGTACGTGTTACAAAGTGCTAGCTAGACCTAGCCTTAGTGCTTAGTTTGTTTTTGAAGTGGTATCTAG